CATATTTCACTTTAATCAAGAAAGGTAACACCTGTGGTTTGTTCACAAAAGCTTCTTTTGTTCAGTGAACACCCGCAGGCCATGAAGCAATTACATTTGTTGCCTGTACCAAAGTAGGAGGCACTTAAATAGATCTTAGTAGGGATAGATGAGAATTTGCAGACTTTATTCTTTTGTCCAGCGCTGAGATTAGTTCTTATCATAGCTCAAGAAGGAAGCCTCTCAACTGAAAAGAAAAGATGGGAATGATTTAAAGTTCTTCTTAAGTTTGAAACTTTGATATTGCTGGAGGTGATGTGAATACCTGTGACCTTACGAAAGTTCAAACTTCATCTACTCCCAGCTGATTGTACATGCTGATGTTCTCTGACAAACACAGACTGCTTGGAATTCCAAAAGGAGAGATTGCGAGAGATTCATGTTTATAATTCTCCACTTATTTATTAAAAATCCCTATTTCTCCATCTTTAGTACCTCCCCGCAAAGTCCCCCAAAATCACAAACCAAAAAAACCCCCACCAAAACAAAAAAACCCAACCCAGACCACAAAAGCCTATTTTCATTTAGTTGGGTTTGGGGGTATTTTTGATGCAGATAATTTAATCCGTTAATCTTATTTGCAGTATATTAGTTTTCTAGTATGCCAGTTAATGCAGCGCAGGCATCTCATCTCTTGGTTTTGAAGTTAGTGAGATTACTTGAACAAAATTTGGTGTCATGTAAAAAAGACCACAAGAATATAATTCTTTGTTGATTCCCCGTCCATTTATGTAAATTAATGTTTTATGCTAATAAGTATGCATCAAATACCTGACCTGTACTTCAGTTTTGCCACTTTAACTATACCACTAAGTAAATGACAACAGCTCTGCAAATTCAGCCGGTTTGTCGCAGTGAAAGATGCTTATTTATCTGATCTGAAACAGAATAAGCTACTGCTGCAAGCTCAGTTCTTCTAAATGATAGTCTTGCTCTTCTGGTCTATCTGCTCCTGTACTAGAGCCCTGGGAGCCTTGGAAGGGAGAAGGGGGAAGAGTCATGTGTCTGCTCAGTGTGCTGTATTCTCATGCATATAAGCTGCACCTCAGACAACCGGTTCTGCCTGAGAACTGCTGTTCCTTGGAAATAAATCCTCAGATCATCTGCACAAAACCAGAGGCATAAGGGTTGCTGAGGCAAAGAGTAGTCTGCAGACGATCAGAGGCAGCCTGTTTGCGCATGAACCTGCGCTGCTGTGGAATCGCTGGTTTTGCATGTGACCTGCTGGTTAGTTGTTTGAAAATTCAGTTGTTGGGCTTGTGAGACGCTCGCATCTTAGTTCTGGCCTATGTGTAAGGGAGAACTGAAATGCTGCCCAGCCTAAGTTAAATGCTTTTGGCACTCTTCTCAGTATCTTTTGTATTCGCAATCTTTCTGTGTGTAGTAATGGTAACTGTGATTTCAGTTGTATTTCTTAGATACAATTAATTTTGTCTAAAGAGGTCTATGGCCTGGACATACCAAAATGCAACGTTGTGAATTGTCAAGTAAGTGGCTTTCCCATTGCCTTGGGTTTTTTGGCAGTAGCAGCCTATTGGTGTGTAATTAATATATTCTTACTGCAAATACAAGTTTTCCATAGGTTTTTTTTTTTCTTTGGTTAAAAATTTATCTTATTCCCAGCTACTGTGCTTGCATAGCTTTGAGATGTTTCAGATTGGGTCCTGATTCTGCAAAGGTTGATACTCAAAGTTAACTTTAATCAATGTGAGTAATCCCACGGAAATCAGTGATCTGGTCTAGAAATAGCTTGGTGCACAAACCGTTGAAGGATTCTGGCTTTAGCCTTTATTTCAATGGAGTGTAAACAACTCTTTTTTTTTTTTTTTTAAATTAATGATTATGGCCTGTCACTGGTATTTGGTTTTACATTGTCATGTCATTCATGTGATTTTTATTGCTTGTCTTAATTCTAGGTTGTAGTGAAGTGCCTAGATGATGGACAGGCACCATACAAAGGTATTATACTGTATTATCTCTAGATGAATCATACATTGTGACAGTACTCTGAACAACAAATTTAGAGGTATAGGGTCCTGTCATACCTTCCATGGAGAACTACGAAAGTTACCAAAGTGGTGAATTTCAGGATACAGGAATATACTTTATTGCAAATGTTCTATCTGGAGTGCAAACTATGAACATCTTGTCTAAACAAGTAATTATTAGTAGCATTAGAAGTAGTAAGTGATGGGCCACAGGTGGTAAACCCCTTATTTTTTATACTTTTGGAGCATGGAAGAAAGACGGGAAGGTCTAGAAGTGTTTGGATATACTTGTGTTATGACTGGGTCCTTATTTCACATAGTAACCGATGAGCTTCATGTTCTGCCTATGAATCGGGGCAAGTGGGAAAGCATGGGAACCAGTAAAGTAGAAGGGGAGCTGGTAGTGTCCTCTGTGTGAAACAGTAGCACGTTGCAAGAAGTGACGCTTTTTCAGAAATGTGAAATGTTAATGCGAGTTTGCTTTTTTATTTCATTTTTTAAAAAAATCTTCCTTTCATAGCAATTCATGCTTCTCCTTTTTGTATATTTGCTGAGATAGTCTTTCAAAATTGCAGTAGTTTGATGTATGGTTTGTAATTCTGGTAGATGCTGGACAGGAGAGTTTGCACCAGAAAGGTCAGAACGCTGCTTTGCATTGTAATACGCACCTGAAAAACAAACTCATGTAAGATGTGGACACGGTGAATGCTTTAGGTGGGTACGCTGCAAATAAGTGAAGACGAATATCCAACTAACGTAACAATTGCTGCTGCACATGCTAAATAGGCTGTATACCACAGAATCTTTGAGGAAAAGAGGAATGTCAGTACATTCTCAGATGGACACCTATCAAAACATATGTCCGCATGTGATGAGATGTATATTCTACACAGGTCATTTGACTCTGGATAGATTTTTTTTTTGTTAATTTATTTATTTTAAATTGACTTCTGTTTGGTTATTTTGTTTGCAAAGCTGCTTGGGTAGGAGGAGGGCCAAAGTCATCTAGCTGAAACCAACTGGCCTTCCCAGAGAAAGCTCTTCTAGGCACATGCCAGCAATCTGATAAGCCTACAAAATAACAAAGGTGGCAGACAGGCTGAATATGGAAATCCTGTATTGAAGGACTGGGAGAACAAGAAGTAAAGGACCTTGATAGAACTAGATCATCAGTTTAAAACAAACAAGGCGGCACTCCTTTATACAGGAGACTGTGGAAGGAGACAGTCTCGGTAGGTTTCAAAAGGGTTTAGACATATTGCTGGTCTACAGCTCCACATACAGATTCTAAAATGTTGAGGCAGGTATGTGTGCCCTCTGACATGCCCAAAGCACCTGTCCTGGATACCAGAGAAATACGGGGGGGGGACGGGACTGGGAGAAGATGGACAGGCTCACATATGCTTTTCATGACGAGTATCTCTTTTTGCCGCTGACAGAGACGAACTGTTGGTTCTTAATCCGTAGCTTATACGTTTGCCACTGCTCAACAAAGGGACTCTCGGGTAGCGTGCTATCCTCAGATCCTACTCTGGAAACAGGCAGAGGGGAGCATGACTAAGCGAGAGCTGAACAGCCTTATTTAAAGACAAGGTTCCCAATAAGTGTTAAGTGGCCAGATATCCAGAAGTACCAAAAATTACATGTCAACTGCATTTTCCTCAAATGTTTATCTGGGGGACCTGGTTTTATTCTTAATGTTTTACATCCAGACTTTACTACTAGAGTGTTTTGTTTGGTCTGTTATCCTTGAATTCTGTATATGTAGACTATTGTATTTATGAGTCCATGTGGCTTATTTCTAAAACATTAATGTTTATACTGCTCAAACTCTGAGTTTCATTTGAAACTGGGGGGGGGTGGTGTGTTTCTGGGTTGGTTTTTTTTTTTCCCTCTGAATTGCAGGCATAGTAATGTTTCAAGTACATATTTGGTTTTGGAAAAATGTATGCTAACTTAAAGTCCATGTTAATATTATCTAGATTGAGAACATGTTGCTACTTTTAAATTTTCAGCCTGGTTTGGAATTTTAGAAACAAAAACAGATTAGAAAAAATAATTATTAAGTATTTTATTTGGTAACTTGTAAGAGGTTATCTATATCTGAAATGTTTTTAAAAAACCGTTTCAAAATAGTGTTGTATATTCCAAGCGAAAATCTTGGTTTACGACTTACAGCAGCGACTTTTTCATATATGAAAGCTTCATACTCTTGTTTAGGTAACTAATACAGCTATGTTACTATTTCTCATTTTGTATTGAGTCAGTCAGTGAATGCCATGAATCTATGGTATGTAATATAGTCAATGCATAATATATATAGGCAATGAAAGGTCTTTGTCATATAGTATAAGGTCACCATCATTAATTTTCAAATTATAAAAAGGGATTTGCTGTTTTGTGATCATCATTATTGCAATATAATGTGTTGTGGATTCTGCCTGCACATAGAATGAACTGTGATCTTAATTAGAACTTTGACAAGCCTACTCCGATAAAATGATGAGATTATTCGTAATTGATGTCACAATCAATTACCAGTTAGTTCATCATGAATCTACTAACAGGTCTAGCCTTGGTGCTGGCCCCAGGATGTTGATGAGTGTGTGGCTGCCCTGTTCATGCTGTTACTGCGACAGGAGGGCAGATTTTCAGTCAACATCCTAATGACCTCTTTTGAAGTCTATTAAATTAATGACCCTGTCACATTGGTCTAACCTCTTACATCTTCATTTTGGATTTTTTGTTGCAAACCATTGTTTTTTGAGCACATGATAGAACAGATACTTTGGAGCACTCCTCCTCATCCCTCCAAATCTGGCACTGTGTCTTACTAGATTCAATAAAAAATTAGTTCATTATACAGTCATGAAATACAGAACACAGAAATCAGAAAACATATTGTAAGGCAAACTATGCTTAATACCATTCTATTCTGTTTTCTTTTTACATTTCAATATTGCTTAATCATAGGTGCCTAAAGGACATGTTTGGTTAGAAGGTGATAATCTCAGGAATTCTACAGATTCCAGGTGCTATGGACCTGTTCCTTACGGACTGATAAGAGGACGCATTTGTTTTAAGGTATATATATATATTTATAGTATCTAACAATAGTTGCATTAATGCACTTTTAATGCCTGGGTGTTAGGTATTAAAACTTGCCTCCTTAACTCTCTGGCCAAAGCAAATGTAAAGGAAAGCTTGAACACTTGCTGTAAAAGGATAATTCAGCAACGGTGGGGTTTCTTTTGAGGGAAGACTTGTTTTTTGAGCAGCACTCTCTGAGCCTGCGCTGCCTCTGAAAACTGAATGAATTATTTTGCAAGCAAATCCAAACCTGATAAACACACAAACATACACACACGCACATACACCCTACTGCATGGATATACATTCCGTCCTTAATTTGATTCTTGCCTCCGCAACATGGTAGAAAAGGGCAGCTGCATATTTCACTGTTGCTGTAATTTGAGCAGTGTAGTTCTATAGTTCAAAAAACAAAGACGGAAGAAAAGGTTCTCTTTCTAGGACTTGCATACATACTTCAGACATGTAGACTGGCCTTGCTGCTTTTTAAACTAAGTCTGTGAAAAAGCCTTAACAGTAAAGTCAAATCTGTGCCACCGTAATTGTCCACCACATTTTTATTAAAAAATGCTTTGAATTCATATTGTATTGTATAAACCTCCATGGTTCCTCCTCCTGTTTCAAAAATTCTACAGCTTTAGTTCACACTGAACTACTTTTTCGTATTATCTGCGTTATTAATTTACTCACCAAAAAGAAGAAACTAAGACAATTTCCTCTCCATAAACAGTTTAATCCAAGAAACAAGGGAGTATGTATTATAGACTTATGCACCAGCTTTTAGAAAGCTAGACTTAAAATGGTGCCATTCAGAACAATAAAAAAAGGTTTTGAAAACCGTTCTCCATATATTGCAACACATCCACAAAAACATAATTTAGCACAGCTGTATTACATGCGCAGGGAAGATTAGATCTTTCCAATCTAACAAAGTTTTATATTCTTACAGTTTTTATGAACCCAACTTAGGACTTTTCAAAAAACCTTGCAGCTATTGACCATAACCAGTAATTGCTCACTAAACCTCAAATAACGTGTCCCCCTCAGCCCCACCACCGAGTTTTGTCTGACCTCCGTTCTTTCTGGATAGCATTTGCTTTGAGTTCTTCCCTAGTGTTTATTGAGTGCTCTCTATTCCTTCTCGGTGTTGTTTGCCTCACCGTGTACACAAGAGGAAAAAATGCTGATTCTAAATGGGCTATTTTTATGACCCAAGTTTTAGCTTGGATTATTAACTGCTAAAATACAAATGATGCTAATGTGCTGACAGCCCTCTTAATAAGAATGTGGTATTAATAATCCAACTGAAAAAAAAAATTCTCCAACTGATGTACTAGTACAGAAAAACTTCTGTTTACTACTTTAAGGGGCCTGTTAGCAAATAATGTCTATATTAAGAACCTGTGTATGTGGACAGCCATAATTATTCACAGTATCCCTCTACAGCAATAAATTTGTGTCCAGCTTGTACCCCAACAAGGAAGATGTTTGAGAGACTTTAATGAAGTGACTGACAGGACTGAACCCTAAATTTAGCAAGCAGTAAACTGTTAAATGAATGGAACTTACACACAGATGTTATATATTGAAGAAGTACTTTAGGGCTCCAGAATATTGTCTGTTTAAAAAAATAGTATGCAATCACTTGAAACTTAATAAAAATTATTATTTAATCAAATTTTATAGCAGTTGTTTCATGATGGTGCATACAGGGTAGTGATGATTAACATTTTAATGAGATTTAAGTATGTGGTGCCTAACAAAAGCAAAAAAGATTTATTCTTCAAATGAGTGTTTATAGTTTGGGTTGTTTATGGTAATTCACGTTAGAATACAGTGCTCTTGCTATTGTACGTTGCTACTGAACATTACGGTGAAAGGCAGCAGAATACAGCTAGTCCGCATGGTGGTAGCTAATTAGTAGACCACTGGCCAAGAAACCTATATGTGCTTTTTAATGTCGCCTACTAGAGGTTTGACTTCTCTTTCATGAAAAGTCTTTTACTGCCTTGAGAATGGAAGCTTATGTGGCTTTATCTTAAAGTGGGTTTTGGAGAAGCAGATGTAACAGTGCCTTTGAATGCTAAGTTATGTTTTTAGTAATGGATGCAAAAAAACCAAATCTAATTTGGAAGTAATGGATTTCAACAGAAGAGAGCGAGCTTGTACCAAGTTTGTTTAGGCAACCTATTCCTGGCAAAACATACATGTTAATCTCTCTGTAGCTCATCTGTGAAGTTTAGACCCAAGAGTCTCAGTCAATGTTGGTGCACCTGTTTTTAATCCATACAGCAATAATGATACTTGATTTTATTTGCCCCTTTTCTCCCTGCCGCCATATCAACTGCCACTCTGAGAGACAAGTTCATTCCATAAAAACGCCACTGAAATCAAAGTAGCTGCACATTCAGTAAAAGCCTAGGGAGTCCCACTTGACAGAACTCGTGCTTCATCCTGTCCTAGGTAGGATATCCTGTGCATTCCCTGGACTTAGGCTCCATGTCAAAAACAGACCTGTAGTGTATCTTCAAAAGAGCTAGTTAGCCCCATTTATCCCCCCATCCATCAGATCAAATCTACGTAGGCCAAACCAAAGCGGGCAAGAGGAAATAGCTGCTAATTGGACTAGCCAGTTTGAATGAACAAGTCACAGTCAACTTCTGTCATAACTTTAAAAGACGTGGGAATTACTACACACAGTGGCATGTCTTTGTTTCCCACAGAAGGCTTGTTCCATCTCCTTTCCAACCATGAGTATTGTTTTTTGCATTCTCTCCTGCACGCAGGCTGGATAAAACATCATTTTCATTCTAACTCCATCACTAGGATTACAGTGATAAATTTGAAACTAAATTGTCAAAACAACATTTAAAACAAATTTGATTACTTTCACTGAAAGAAAGTCAAGTTGCAATAGGTGTGATTTAAGTTGCCTGAAGTGAGATCTGTGCTGTAGTGAACGGCCTAAGAAACTTCCTTCTTTGGGCCTTTACTCAGATCAGCTTAGATTTGTAATATGGGATATTCCTATTCCCTTTTACTCCCCTTTGCCTTTGAGGCCAAAGACTTGACACCCAGCCTGCAGCCAGCATAGGCCCTCTGCAGAGCCCTGAATTCCGTAGCTTTGCTTCTAACCAAGATCACAAATATCCTTCTGTTGTTGGTTCGTATCTCTGTATGTCATTTTTGTGGAACTTACTGGCTAATATGCATATAGAGACAAGACGTTACCTCTGTGTATTTCTCTATACCAGCAGATGTTCCTCATGCTCTTCCCTAACTGCACATGCCAAAAAAGACATGTATTTTTCTAAGATACTTGCACAAAAGAGCTTTGAGCCTTCTTCAGATCCACAGAACTTGTGGAGCTGAGAATGATACATCCTTCTGTCTTCCCAAGGGCCCAGGCACAATCCAGCTGATGGCAACTTAGCACAGTGCTGCAAGCGGCCTGACAGATGCAAGTCTAGGGAGCTTCTAGCAGTGCGCGGTCCTAGCCTAGTAAGTGGATGCTGTCTTGCTATGCCCATCCTTAACTGCCTCTGCCTCTTCTGTCATTGTCTTTACTGCTGGGGACAAGTCTTGGGGTTTGAAATACTGAACCGTGGCACTGTGCTTCCTCTTTAAACTGAAAAAATTACTTTTTCACTCCACATAGAAAGCAGCAAAGGCTCCCTCTGTGCTGTGGATGTTCCATGAACTCAGTTAGAGTAAGCTGCTGTTCCTGGAAGGTGACTGCATGCCTTCCTTAAGATCAAATTCTAAGGAAAATGAGCAAGATAAACATCACACTGACAGATGCTTTGGGAACAAGGTAGTGCATCACCTTTTTCTGTCTAGGTTGCTTCATCTTGAGCAGGGGCTGTGAGATTTTTATGGGATTAGAGCCACAGAAGGGCATTCATTCTTCAACATCATCTC